TATCGGTCGACCAAGGCTAACAGGGGTCACTACAAATGTCCCGTCACCGACATTTACACGATTACGTGAACAAAGTCAATATTTAAATAAATCGAATGATTCCATTAAGTGACCATTAAGATACCAAGAGGTTTACCGCCGCAACCTACGTTCTTCCGTATCGGAAAATTTTGATTTGCCTTAAGTATGTATCTACTTTTGTAAGGCGCTTACCTGCACTTTGCGTAGCATTGATAAACTGTCAGGTTGGACGACATAGCCGTATATATATATTTATATATAGACATATATTAAAAGTCTGACCTCTACCTAAGCCCGCTAAATCCACACGCTCCCTGTTAATATCGACAAGTTCTCTGACTCGACATCCGAACTGTTCTCCTACTGGGACATCTAATTATAAGATTAGCTTGATTCTCTCACTAGCCAATTCACTAAAAAAGTAGCTTTTAAAATCTCTTCGTACCGAACATGCTTCTGTTCGAATATTATTGCAAGAGTATATCTTATCATCAGTGTTGACAGACTCTTAAAGTACCGTCTTTCCGAGGATGTTTCATGAGCCAGACGAAAACCTTCTCTCTTTGTGGAAAGTGGTCTAAGCAGACGAAATTCGATCGATATAACTCCGGTTCACATGCTGGGCGTATCCACAGGATCAGATCAGGGCGCATCTCAATCGATAAAATACTAATATCAGAAATCAATGGCAACCCCGAAGTAAATATTGGTACAGCGATATGTACAGTTCGCTTATTATACTCATTCAGGCGGAACATTATTCTGGTGATAAGGTACTACACTATATGATGCCAGTTGGTACGTTCTTGAACTGAAAGCTCGCATCCGCTGCTGCTTAGAGGTATTATTTCGAAAAATCAACAAAACCGGGCAAATCTAATGAAAACAGATATTATTATCTATTTTCATTATCGATTGAAGAAGCATGAAAGAATTTTCTATTTGTTTTTCTTAAAGCTCTAAACTCAGTGCAAAAGATTCGACTAAATGGTGGATATGTGTCTGTGTTTATACGAACCTGAAAGATACGCCTTTTCCATATAATTAGTGCACAATTATCCTACATACTAGATAATTAAAGAACCCTTTGGTTTGCATCTGATTTTCTACCGCGGGCGATCCAACGATAGTTATAGCTTAATCCTATTGATAAGTGAACATTCATCTCCACTAGTATAATGGTCATCTATAGAAGTTACCAGAAATCCGTTTGTAAAGTTAAATATAAGCACTTCGGAATCAACTACCGTTCAGTTTAAGCACGTTCAAATATATTTGAGTGGACAAAGAATTTGAAGGTTGCTACGTACATGTTTTCCGATTCAGCAAATATATATAACTATATAGACAAGCGACATTGTTTGTTGTCTCGTACAGCCGCGTACTAAGCAACACGCCTTAGTTCGAATAAAATATGTGGAGCCGTTAATTTTAACTGCTCCAATAAGTTCTGAAAGAATAAGCCTTCCCTCATTTGAAAAATCGATCGGACGTCCCATCTGAGAAGCTTAAAGCCTTCTGCTTTGTCTTATTACTATTTTCCCCAACTTATCGAAGACATTCCCCTCTATAGAACTGTCTAGGTTTGCTGTTTTACGTTGCGCAATCCGTAAGCATCTGGTCAATTTTGTAAGTCTTGCCTTAGTATTCAGCCTGTTGTTTTTCAAGGGCTAAAATGAGCCACTGTGTGACTCGCTACACCTCGCCCTCCGGCAGACATGAGGCCACTTGAACATTGTGAAAGTCAATAAGCAGACAGGCCACAGAACTACTAGAGCTCAAAATGGTTTTAACTCCGGATAGGCGAAGGGAGCACTGACGGAATTTTGCTAACACGAGCGACTGTGACTAGTCAAGCCATTAGAGTCAAAGGACACTCAGATTCGGAAGCACCTAGAAGGTTACTTGGCTAGCGGAAGACTTTTTTCTCGATTAGTCTTTGACTTCCGCTGCAGCCTTAATAGTGATCCTTATATGCCCCTCCATGCCACCGGGCTACAAATATCGTAACTACATGCTTAATAAGCTTAACTGAAGACAGTTCACTGTCGGTGTCCAGAATTAAGAAAACCAGTGGTAGAAAAGTAAGCACACTCCAACAGAACGTGTCAAAACGGTGCATACGGGTAGATGGATACAGGTTAGGTGAACAATAAATTCTAGTTCTTAAAAGGGGGCTTACGTTATTATGCCACATCACTTGATACCCCATATATTTTTCCCTTGTGGAGAAAAATAATCTAGCTCAATCTTAGCGCGCCATTAGAAGTTTCCGCCTAAACACTCTCCCTGAACCACACGTTCCCATAGAAGATGGACGACAGACATATCGCGGCTGTAAACGACAGCCCACGACAACCTTCCTCGACCAAAAGTCATTCGAAAATTGGCTTTGATCAACAGAAAAACGCTAAAACGTCAAACTTCTAAGCCACTCATCAATAGCAATCCTGTAACAGCCCATCTGACTTCCTGACCACTTTGTGAAGTAGGCGTAGTTTCTATTCGAGAGATTCTGTACTTCGCACACAAGTTCCCTGTGTAGAAAAATTGCGGGGCCACACTCGCTTTAGGTGAGGCAAGCCGCACCGTCTTGTTTGAGGTCAAAAACAGAGCCCTGTGCCGATGCCTAGTCTCCCCGCTAACCCCATGAAACTCTCGAATTTTCAAGAGAAGACAACAATAACTAATACTGCCAGCAACATTCAATGGTTGCGTAAAGCTAAAAGAGGCTCTAGTGGACCTTTTGAGTGGGGCTTTCATATTCAAATGTTATTAAGGTTAAATTATTTTTATTTTTTTTAAATTTTTTTATTACTATATTTTTTTATATATTTTTATATATTTTATATATTTTTATATATTATTATAAAAAAATTATCTTAAAGATAGATTATCTTGCTAATGGCATGCTATTATTTTGTGCTTGTGTAAGATTTTTGTTTCCCTTAATGCAAGTTAAATACTCGGTAACTGCGATAATTTAGAGAATATTTACTGTTGCCCGTTTGGCGAAGATCATAATTGAATTTTGTAGATTTTTAGACATAACACGTGCACCTATATGTTGTTACTACGAATAGTACTGAACAGCAGCTTTTAAATAGTGACAATAATAATCTTATCCACATTATAACTTAATTAGATATTTTAAAAACTGTGAGAATGGCAGAAAATTGTCAATAAGTGATGATTATTTAAGAGACTTGTTTTTTTCACTTACTTAACTAAAAAAATTATCATTAACTACTACGGTGATTCTTATAGCCGATTCAATAGAGATGAATTTCTGAAAAGATCCGTACAAATAAAGGCAGTATCTGCTAGCAAGAATAGTTCACATGGGAAAATACTGCTGTCGCTTTGTCGAACTTTGAGGAACTTCAGGAACTAAAATAAACAACTATTAGATAGTTAAACACAGGGCTTGCGTTACGGAGAACACTCTCTCAGTTAAGATAGTCCGAGTAGTTAACCCAATATATTTAGATTCAATGTGCTTTTCCGATTTAGTAACTTGTTTTTTACGAAGGAAACGGCTTTTAGAGGTATAATTTGTAATTACATTCTGAAATGCTATGGAAAGTTTCGTTCGATATTTGAAGGACTGTTGCGCAGGGCTTCTATCGTATAACCGTTTGTCCCGAGTACCAAATCGAGAGTTCGCCTTTTACATCTCCAAGTGACATTTTGAATTTTCGCGGTACTGCGTTGATACGACTGTGCTTGTCTTCTAATCATTTTTAAGTCGTCGATGGCCTCCATTGATTTTAAGTGGTATTGATGATTACAAGGCCTATTCATTGCTGACACAAAAAGAACGTCGATTAGACGTTCGTTGACAAAAGTACTTCTATGCAATATGTGCACATATACTCTCCCGCTCTAAGCGAAAGCGCAGAAAAACATTCTTTGTCCTAGCTTTCTTATTAAAACAATTTATTATAATGCAAATTTCAGTCTCTATAATACGCGTCTATAATTGACTATGGAAGAAGTCTTCAGGGCGTACCCTATAGTCTGGCCGTCTCTACGTCCTCATATTTGTGTAGCTAGTGTACTAGCTACGTTTTATCGTTGGACGACCTATACTCTGTTTGGCTTCGTGTGCTGGAGTTCGCTTCATTATAAGCTTAGAAGGAATCAGCATGGTGATCTGTTATAGTTTGCGTTGACACAATTATTAAAGATCCATTTTTTAATTCGATCGAGGATAATCACCCCCAGGATGTTATATAACTATCCCTTCGGAGCCGCGAGATTATCGAGCCGAGCCGAGTCGAGTCGAGTCGAGTGGTATTAAATAGACGCTTCTAAAATAGAGGGGTTTTCGGTAGGCTCATCAATAGAATGAAACAAACTATTATCATTTTATCTCTTCAGAGCTTTTATTTCTTAAATGGCAATAAAATTATTCTATTGGACTCTGGGAACGGTTTGTGCGCAGTCATATTTCAACATAATGAAAAAGGCTAAATAACAGAAATAAATATGATGTCAAATGAAAGATCAATTGCCTTACGCCCTTAGATTCTTCTACACACAACCCGGAATGTTTTCTTCGCTAATAGAGACATACATCGATGGGAAAAAGTTTGAGGCTGCTGTAGCAGTTGGTTTATAATTTAAAAGCATTTTTACAACATTTCCTTTTACCGCGGTGAACCCAGAGGTCTTCCTTCTATGATTGCATGTGATACCGGATTCTGTAGCTATGAATGGGCTTAGATGAAATGCAAAGGTAACAAACAAGCAATAAGACGTTTACCTGGCCTTGTCCTTTTTCATACTAAATCTTCTTTTGAATATTAAAACTTGATTCCGACCAGATAGCTGTTCCACTATATCTAAGACAGCGGGCTAATAGCATATTTGACATCTTCGATAGCTTTGTCGACTCTCCAAAGAACGCTTTAGCTATGAATATCAACCAGTATAAATGCTATAAACCAATTTTCAAAAAATTTATTTAATTTTGTTTCTTCCCTTGTTTTTCGTAGATCGGACGGCGATTCCGACGACACCGATTCATCCGTTAGCTCTGACGATTTGGCCACAACGTCCTGCGAGCACGCAGCGCCGGTCGGTGCTGGCAATTACCATTCGGCCATGTGTATGACCGAAGACGCCGAAGACCGAGTGTTTTCAAATGCAACCACGTGTTCAGATATCGCTCACGATTTCGCCCAATGTACACCTGAAGCTGTAGCAGCCAGCGCCGTACCTACGGCCAGCGGAGATTCTGCGGACACTGAAGGAGCCACAACGGCAACAAGCGCTACAGCGAACGAACAGATTAATCCAACAGGTTTGTCATAGTGTCATATTATATACAAAGTGGCGCAAAAGTGGGCTAACAGTGGGGGGGGAGAGGTAAGTATAGGGGAAGGGAAAAACTACCTTTCGAACATGGAAAAGGATCCGTAGCTGAAGCTGATTCTGCAAGCAAACCTTTTTGGATCCGTTTCGCCTGGTGCGTGCAGTATGAATAACGTCGCACCTTTTTGATGATAAGGGTCAAACTAGAGGTTCTTCGAATAGGTCCTAACTCAGCGCTTAGCCACTGAGTTAAAATTTAGTGGTTCCTTTGATCTACTAATATAGAAGCAAACTGTTACCACTGAATCATGACTCAATTCTATGTAGCGTCCATCAACCGTTTTAAAGTGCGATATTATGCAGTCCATTGCTAACCTATTTGATAAATTAAAAAAAAATAGTTAAGATCTATCATTAATACATGTCACCTTTGATTATTTGATGGTAGACGGGTTTGATTATAAAAAGAGGGCCATTCCCTCTGATTTCCCCTGAAAACGAACTATATTTTACTGCATTATCTCGATGATCTGCTGCCCACAAGATTACTCATGTGATTGTACCACTATCCCTTTATACTTCAATTTCCTAAAAGCTTTTTTAAGCTGAGCTCTGCTCCAGTTTAATCACTGTCGACATCGTAGATAGGAATTAGTGGAGTTACGGGCTAATGCAGTCCTTTGTGAGTCTGTAAGCTCGACTTGATTGTTTTGGTTTGTGTGACTTCTATTTTTATATGGGAAATCATCCGATGCTAGCACCACGTGTTATTGTGTAATAGAACGTTACCTAGTTTAACAGTCCACCGTGCTGGATTCACATCCATTATTGCCATCATCACAAAAAAAAGAAGCACATGTCTCGTTCTTTGTATCATAGTTGTGATCGTTCTATCAAAAAAGAAAACTATCATCATTCTGTTTTCCTTTTCACCACTCTACATAGTCGTATGTAAAAATAGTGAAAGCAATATAGGAAATATAATTATTGTTTCTTTACTCGACCAAAATGGTTCATATGTTGAATTATGTCGAAACCCTGCCAAAGGTAACCTTTTGTAGCCGGAAAAACGAGCCCCTTTCTAGAGTTGCTAAAATTAGTTTCTATTCAACAGCTTGTACATCCGCCGGCGGGCCAGGCGGTTCCGTATCAGCAGGCTGTGCACCTAGATAATATATCACCTGCTCTAGTTTCCGTGTGGTTTCATATTCAGTGGAAAAAATTGGCTCTCTCTGAGGTTCTTTCAGTTGGAAGCTTGGGAGTTTAAGAAAAACCCAACCGGGTGACGATATATTTGAGATTATTAAATATAGATGAGCAGAATATTGGTATGATCGTCACAACTGCATGTGTTCTTCTTTCACGGTATAAGGATTCTGTGGAAGATAATTGCATTCGGATAGCAATATCGTTGGCCTTGTTTCCTACTCTTTGAAAAGGACACGCCTATACAGCTACGCCGACAGAAGAATCTTATTCGAGTTCCAGCATTTTTGCACAACAAAAAAAAAAACAGGTAACGTCAATCGAACAAGGTAAATGCGATAATGACCGATTCCAGAATACAGCCAATAAATTAATCGCAGAATATAGAAATGCATAGAAATTCTCGGTATCAGTATAAACTGACATCTGTCGAATCATTCAAAGTGTCATTGGGGGCACCTGTGCCGTAACGTACCCCAGTGGCCTTGGTTGGGCATGATTACAAATACACGCAAGTACACCTCGTCTGGTATGAGAGACGTTCTTACTTAAATATCATGTTTTTTTGGAGTGTATTTAGTGTTTGGCGCTGCATATAGACTTTATATATATATATATATATATAGAGCTTTTGTGTGCCGGTTTCTTTGCAAGCAAAATTATGTACGAGTGCTGTAAATCGGATTCAGTTGGCAACCTCTATATCGATATTAAGACGACATTAGTAATCGGCACGGTGTCGTACTGTTATTTAAAAAACGAGCAGTTAAGACAATGATGTTTTCCGGTATTTTTCCTCTCGATGAACCTAGAAGATTGACCTAGAACTTGAATGTATATACTCGTACGTGGATTGCTTCTGTGTTAAGAGCCCAAGCCCACCTTTTTCGAGTGAGATCTTTTTATATATCCGTATTTTTCTTAAATTTCGCTGGTGTTTTTAACGATCTAGCAAAATATCTTGGGGCGATTCGCACTATAGACGCCACAAGACTTGGCTAAAGAGGAGAACTCCCACAGACAAGCATGCAGCTTATTTGCAAGGGCATTCAAATCAGGTTTTTTTTTTAACGAATTTGTGCCAGGAGTATATACGTTTCAAATTTTCGTTATACCCTCGATAATGCGGCGAATATCCGGGATAAGTTTACAGCTTAAATATTTCAAAGGTTTTTGTCTAAAACAACAGACTAAACATAGTAAAGGAGTTAATGCCCCGCAGTGCAAAAGTGCCAAATCAGGGACCTACCAGGGTTTTGCATCTTCGAAAAGTTGGTTTCGGGCAGGAAACGAAGTGTGGACCTAAACCACTGCGCCCCCTTCAAGATCGTGCAGGAAAGCAAGTTACCCGTCACGCCATCATGGAGGCGTTACAATACTTCCTGTTATTGCGAAGCCTGCTAAAACGCGAGGTTTACCAAATCCGGTCTGAAAATACAGTTTAAATGCCCCGACAGTACGAGAAACAAAAAATCTATTTCCTCATTTATTATCATGCAAAAAAAGGGTTTTTTCAACGTCGACTTGAGCCTTTTTTCATGGGCATAGTTCGAATATATCGGTTTATCTATTCACAACGCTGAGTTTACGACACGCGCGACGCTGCACTGAAAACATTTGCCTAACTGTGAACGTATTGGTTTCCTATTTGATCCTTCAGCTGTTGCTAGCGGCAATGTCCTGTGTGTTTTGCTAATCATAGATCTCTCAGCCACATGGCAAAGATAAGCTTCAAAGGAGACTCTTATATATCATATCCGTTTATTCCTATTAATCGGCAACGTTTTGTCGGGACGAGCAGCTTTTGCGGTTTGAAAGCCGAACGACATTTTCATTCAAGGCCAGGACCTAACAACTAAGTCGCTTGATAACTTTGTACGGCTGTGAGTGACGGCCCTGAGCGTAAACTAGAATAGAAACCCAATGACGTTTGAAAACCAGCAATCTAGACAATTAAATTAGTGATTAATTAACATATTAGCGGCGTCCGTTGAGCGTTGAGGATCGTGTTGGGATCGAGTGGACCATTTAGCCCTGTAGCGCTAAGTCTATCGTCGACAAACTGGACCAGAGATAAAAACCTAAAACTTGTGTGTATAAGAATGGCTACGTATATAACCGTAAAATGTGGAACACTCGGCTAAACTTTATTTTGGAAAGCCGTCTTTTTTCCTTTTGCTTACACTCTATTATATGTACGGCTGTCATATGCACTGTCCCCACCGTGTCAATACACACAATAATCTGATATTATACATTTAATACTGTCCATCAGTTGACTCATGCTTCGATTGGGTAATAACATCTACAATAATCTTTAATAACAATTCTCTCATCTAATGTTTAATAAGAATTTCTGTTATTTTGCACACAACGCAATGCATACGGTTTCCATTCCAGTTGTCTTCCATTCTCTATAGATAAACATCAACGTTCGTTTAAAAACAACTAGTTCCTTTCGATCCGGGTTTTCCCGCTCCTCGTTCAAATGACGAAACGAAACCCTTAGCAGAACTAATAGACCATTTTGATCGCGTTCAAGTGGAAAGTTTAGCCGGCTGTGGACCTCAGCCTTGGCCTGGTTGAGTGTACATTGAACGGCCTGCTCCGTATATGAACGAGCCTTGCGAGAAGATTTACTAGATATACATCGCATTTTTTTGCGAGAAAGCTTCGATGAGATACTCTAAATGGTACGCTTTAAACCGGCACACATCCGGTTTTGCACCACAGTTTCCAAGCTGGCATAAACAAATGTACCGGCCAGAGTTCTACTCCACTAGAGTCCGTTCCAAAGTTCTCCGATAGTTGATCGACTCCGGACTGTGCCTCTTACGGAAGACTGGGTAGCGCATTTTACCGCGTTACTCCAAGGACCTACCAAAGTAAAAGTGGAGTTTAATACAGGGGTAAACTGGAAGGCCAAGCAGTGGAAGCGGTTAACTATATCAATTATCACATTCGGGTACTCATTTAAAGACGTAAGCGTGTGTACTTCCAAATAGTGCTCCAGATCCCCTCGTGGACGAACACGTTCTCACTGGCCCATTGCAAGAATAGCGTTTCGTTTATGTTTGACATGGGTGCACTCAATGAATAAAGCGGTGTCTTTTGGAACACTTTCTATTCTACATGCTGAAAGTGTAGAGTAATCGATTAGTGGGTCTTACGGATTATTAATTTATATTATAAAAGGCGAATGATTGCGACACGCGCATCTCCTAACAAAGTTTGGTTTGAAATGTGTTATCTTTTCCGGCTTGCTGAAACTATAATTTAGAGTATGGTTATTATGTGCAAGTTGTAACATCTATATTAGGATTGAATATACGTCAAAGGAACGTGGGCTTTTCGGCCCTTCAAAATGCCTCTGATTGCGTCATGTCCCTCGAGGATCTAGCAGTAGTAAAGTTGATTTTCATATTTTAACGTATCCTTATGGTAGGTAGTAACTGCTCGCTGCATGACCAACTCGTGTAGACTATGATTTTGTTGCAAACAATTGTAACACTGGAAAAAACATCAATCGCTAGATGGTCACCATAGAAAATAGAAATTTATTTTAAGCCGCTGTACTTCTGATATGCTATGTATTTTTTTAACCCATGATACCCGCTGTAGGCTGTAATCTGAACTACAGACAGACTGACCGACTGAAAACTGTCGAAATAATATTAAAACCAGTTCCGACCTAAAATCAGGTAAAAAATGACGCGCTAACTTAGCGGGTCATACCGCAATTTGAAAAAGTTGGCTGAAATGCCACGGTAGCGTGCCAATATCCAGATGTGAGGCCTGATGCCTCTCTCAAACGAAAATAACACATTCGTTTAGCCCCTATCCTCTATATGAATCAATTTTTTTTTAATTCCACGGTCTTTTTACGGTCTTTTTTTTACTAATGCATTTCTTGATAAGGTGTATCGATAGGTAAACTATATAAACACGTCAAGGAAAGGTGCATTAATAAGGATAACTACCAGAAGATGAGTGTTAACCTACTTCCTTTGAAGAAATCTCTTTAACTTGTCATACATGTGTTGCTCATATTCTATAATAATAATATTAATTATAATTTTTGCCACTAGTTTATTGTAGTTATTTATTTTCTTTTTAACACGTTTCCCTTAGAGGTGACTGCTTCTGACTCCGGAATCGGCCCAGAAGAGGTGACCGCAGCACTCGAATCAATGATACTTGGACTGAAAGCTCTAGAAGACGACGTGTGGCCAACATATCCCGCTGATACCTCTGCTGAGCCAGATGCTGGAGATATCCGGAAAGGTGCCATTACGCCCGGGATTTATATGATTGACAGCAGTGAAAAACAAACCATTACTCATGCGGACCGCCCCAATAATCAGACCACCGAAACTGAGGCAATCCCCTCAAGAGCGGATGCTGTCAGCAATATGCAGGCGGCACCTTTGCCAGATACGGTAAGCTTTGTAGATTTACAGTATTCTAATCGTTTGCCGGCGAACTATGTGGACCCGATCATTGTTTGGAAGACGACGTAAATGGAGCGGACGCAATAAGGTTGGCTTTAATTCCATCTTAAACCGCTCGAACTGAATTTGAAGGCGAAACCTTTGGAAGTTATCATTTGAGTCAAATTGGGCTAATAAACTTTTGAAACGTTTCTCATTATGTTACGGGTAGGCCGAATGCGGGATGGGTTAGTTAACTAATTTAATAATGGGATTAGAAAACTTCGATTAATACTAATGTAACTATAAGTTACAAATATTACCTGGAACAGCGAACAACACCACTGACAGAGAAAGCACTTTTTACTTATGGACTACTTTAGCTAATTAAACTTTTCACAGTTGCCTGTGTAAATAAGTTATCGACGATCTTTACTTTTATGGGCTTCCACCATGCCTGTGTTTTCGAATCGAGTTACTTGCAGTTTATTACAGTGAATTTCAACCGCCTTCAATTAGTGTTCCATATATCCGCAGCAATAAATAGTTCTACAGCAATATTGTATGCTCAGTATCTCAGTCAAACTTTCATCATTGCTAGATGCAAATGGTTATAATATCAATACAATATTCCAACCTTTTATTTGTTTGTGCCTTCAAGCACTTGAAATACAACCTAACTGGATCGCATGAAGCCTCGGCGCTATTTCCTATGCCTAAGATGTATAATATCCATTGTAAATATATATATATATATGATGCTCATGTGACTATTTTCAAGAAGGGAACTCTAAAATCAAATATGAAGCTATTAAGTCGATCTCCGAGTACTTCAAGTCTATCAGCTTCGACGATCAGTAACAAGGGCAACGCCACTTCTACCTCGTTAAGGTCAACGCCTGTCGAAAGCTCTGAAAGCAGTCCTCAAACGATGTAAGTGGTGCTTGTTTGATATGTGGCGTTAATACGAATATTCGTAGTTCAACACCTTGTTCTTTTGGCGTTTCGTTAACGTTGTTTCGTGACACATAATCTTAATGAGTAAATTCATAACGTATTCCCAACATGAGTTACTGTTTTCGGAGCTGGTTGAAGTTCAGATAGTCCGTTGAAGGGGACAGCGCCAACCATTCAAGATATGTTATTCTCACCCAAAGATCCATACTGTTCGCCTCTACGAAAAGTCTGAATTCATGACTTTGTACTGCGCTTCATTTTTCTCAGAGCAATGACAGAGCGCCAAAAGTTACCCTAGTTACCAAAAGCATCGTTTTTTTCGTTCGATATCGCTCTTTGTGCTATCAGACGAAACAAGTACATCATCGAAGACAACACCCCCGAGGACCTAGTAAGTCGACACAATCTCGCATTCCCTGAACCGCCAGCATCAGCCACCTCATCAAGGTGCGTTACGCCATCGTGCCACAGTGGAAGTGGAAGCCCCACAAACAGCGTTTTCTCGATTGACCTTTCGCAGATGAAGTCGTTAAAATTGCTTTTCTCCAATGTCGACTCGACCTGCGGACAACTGGTTATCGCTTCCCGTGAGAGCCAATACAAAATTTTCCACTTTCATCATGGGGGACTTGATAAACTCGCCGAAGTATTCAAGGTTTGTACAGTAAATACTTATTATTAATATACGCTTGTTTGTTTTAGAATCTATACAACACTCGACAGCTCCTGGGGCTGTATCGAGCATATCGAACGAGGATGGCTAAGCGAATTTTATTCTATAATCTGTTTTCCTGACCTTATTATCGACTTAAACCTCTTGTGCTTATGAGTTACATATATTTGGATAATGGATGTTGCTCCTTAAAATTATTAGTTTTTGACTAGTCAAGTCAAATCTGTTCGTTTTTGCCACATAATCTACTATCCAAGTAATATTACTCACAATATTACTGCCCATATCAAAAACCTAACGAAAAAACAAAACAATCAGTCCTAGTTTACTGCATAAATATCGTCCTTCCAACTGTAGGAAAGGTCACCTTTTGTCTTCTAGCTGCTGTTATCCTGCCCTTCCCTTTCACATTTGCATAATTGGGTTTCTGCACTAAACCTTCGGATTCAGTTTATCCCGGCCGCTTCCGAAGCTTTTGAAACATACCTTTGAGCCTATTTATGGCAGTCGTACCGGTCGTAAAAGTTAAAATAACTATCTAGCTAGCTAGCTAGCTAGCTAATTTCAAGCGGTTTGAGCTATTTTTCCAGGTTCACGGTCACGGTACGACAAGCTGAAGGATAGTAACCGGACCGTCTAAACGTCGACATAACAGTACCACATTATGTTTGTCGGACTTTTTTTACCTTCCTTTTCACTCTTCACGCAGAATTGCACTCATCTACATATAGAAGAAAAGCAGGTCCGCGCAGCTAAAGTATGGCCTGTCTGATCGTCGAAGAAGAAGGCCTAGCCGTCAGGCGACCGTCAATGTGTCAATTTAGCGGGCCAACACATAAAGGTGTTTGCCCGCTTCCCCATCGTTACCTCATCCTCATCTGCTCAACTACCTAAGGTCCCATTTATTTGTATCAAAGCTAGAGAGGCTCCGGATGAAGATAGGGCAAACAAAAGCAATAGCGTAAGTTTACATCCGACGTTTACGATGGCAAAGGTTGGATCGGCTGCTGATCCCCTTCAGAGTAATGTTATCTACCTCGTCCTGACACGAGCTACTCTCGTCAACAATGGCGGCATAGGGGAGCTGATTTTTACTGCTTTGGTATTTCACCATGCCCCTCACCCGCGTTGTAGTTGTATGAGTAAACAGAATAAAGAAGATACAAAAGATGAATTGGAAAATTAGTCATACCATATCTTCGTAGAGTCTTTCCGTGATGTATGGAACGACGATAAATGTGTCCGTTCATAACACATTTCTATTATTTTAAATGTATAGAATAATTTTTAACCAAAATAGTGGAAATCACTCTATCCAAATCTACGTTTATTGTCCACCTGCAACTGTGGGAACCAGTAAAATGCGTAATGTCCCGCTCTGAGCTGATAACACAGCGAAATCTAGCGACCCTACATATGGTACATAATTACTTCGTTACAATTACCTTTGTTACCCAGTATCACTATTGACCTTTCTTCTATATCGTATAGCTACCGTGTTCTATTGGCAAAAATCGACAATTTTGTCCTTTCTAACAGTATATCTGTGTCGACTGATCTAGACTCATGCACTCAGAACTCCCATGAACAGCCCATTTCAATCACCTGATACGCGTTGACTACACTCCGCATGGATCTGGATCTATGTAGGATCTGTAATAAGTATTCACAAACGCACATCTTCTTGTAGATACTGAAAGGAAATCGGTGCTTTCATTTATGGATTCACACCATCTACCACTATAGCGAGACGCAGGGATTGATCGATACGCAAAAACCAAAGCAATCCTTAGCGGCAATACCGGACTTGAGAATTGAAACATTTAGGCCAAAAAAAAAAACGGAAGGGCCACATACGTTCAACAGCAGATCAGCTGATGACGCTTGTCTCGAATAATTAATAGTAATAATAATCGCGAGTGAACCTTTTTTTATTAGGCGCAATCCGTTCAGGGCCGACTCATAAGCCGAAGCGGGCCAGTTTAGCAAATAGTCTTCGATTAAACGAATAGTGTTTCGATTAAACTTTCTAATTACTGCTTTTGTTGCAGGACTTCGACTTTTTGATGAAGAGCCGAACGCAACGTATTAAAGAGTACATCGCCAGTGGAAATGTCGGTTTGGGGAGTGGTAATTCCAGCGAACAATCTAACGACAGTCCTAGCCTTGGCAGAGCGGCGACCAGCGGTGCAGTTCTATCACAAATGTTCGTCCTCAGTAAACCACGCCTGTCTCCTGAGGAGTGTCATCCTGAAGAGGACTCGACGCCATTATGTGACTTCGACTTCTGGTTTTGTCACGAAAACGAGGACGGTGTCTTTGAAAACGAGTGCGAAATACGAAAAGCAGTCTTTTTCCGAGGTAAGTTTGGCAAATTGGCAGCTCATAAAATGAATCAGGTTAACTGCTCCATTTGCCAAGTTAACTAGTACGTCATATCACCCCTAACGCGAAACAAACAGCGTTTACTAATCTCACCTTAAGTAGCCACATTGATGGAACAGATGATACATGCTATCCATATGCGATTACTCGACCTCTTGGTTGGTCACGCTTACGAACTTCAATAGAAACATTTTAAAAACTAGTGTTCTTCTAATGCTAAGCTGCTATGACCATTTAGCGTGCTATATGATGAAACTATTTATGTTGTTGTCATTGATTTAGTGTCACATATGATCGCATACTTTACAACTTCTTCTTAATATTGTGGCTTTATATATATATATATATATATACATATCTATATATATATATATGACTATTCTCCTATCGTTTTTGAAAAAACAATAGTAAAATGACGGTGCTTTACTTCATTGGTGACCCCTTCAAGCTCCTGCGCCTCCAATGGCACTATTAAAATAAGGCCGACATTGTACCTGTCAGAGCATCCGCGATTTTATCACCATTGAAGTTATTGTTTTACGAGCGGCACGGTCCATTAATGATCCCTCGAATCATATACATATAAGTCGGCCTACGCTACAGTTTTCCCACACAATTTTATTTACAGAAATATCCATCACAATAAATCCGATTTTGTCAGATCTGTATCAAATTTGTTTGAAGAGCCAATATCAGTTCCTCGCTTTCTTAGGATATTTATAATAATTCTACAATAACATAGATCATTATTATGAACGTGTGAATAGTGCACCCGCCACTGGAGGGTGAGATTTTAGAGCAAGAGAAATATTTAACCAAGGTAGCTATAACTCCTGGTGGAAACGATATCCATTTTTTCCGATTCCCCCTTATTCCACCTTATGCTATGCTGTCACCGTTTGTAAGAATAAGAGTTGCCCATGATAGGCCTCGTAGCCTTTCACAGCGTTCTGGCTACATACTGACGATCTGACAAAATAGATGTTAATGCAGTTTCGGACGTGAAACCCAAAATTTCACTGCTAAACACACCATATTCGTTAAAATAGGCAATAACTAGTATTTCGTAAACTTTGAGGAACTCTGATTTTGAGGCGCTAGAATAGCACGCAACTGTCGAGTCACCCGTTACATCAGTATGTTTGACTTCCTCGTCTTTGACTCCTACCTACTGCTGCTGTTGTGCCATTTCTTTCCAGTCGAATTTGAAGGGGTACCAGCGAAATAGGCGGTTCTGTTTTGTTTTTCTATATTAAAATAGCAAATTTCAGTATCGCCTCGCTCCCATCGTACACGCCGAGGTCCTTGTTTTATTAGCCGTCGGTTTCGTACAAGTACGATAAAGTAATGGTAGGGCAGTCCTTACCCTTGACGCACTAGGGGGAGACGATCCGGCTCAAGCACGGCAAGCTACCGGTATGTGCGTCACGCGTCTCCAAAACTCCCATCAAAAAAGAAAAACTCCTTGCCATAAAAGTTCTTGCTACGGTGCACTGAGAACAGAAGAGCCTACATACTACACCTAAAGCCCCGTCCAGCAGGATCCTGGATCCGAACTGGAGATAAACGCATGGTTCGTTTTGTAGTGCGAGGACCCAGCCGTCTTGTCGAATCATTGCTTAACCAAGGCAGCAGCAGCGCCACCAAATGTAACACTTGAAACTAAAAATTCTCCGAGCATACCCAATGAATTTCGAGAATTAATTAAACCAATTGGTTTCATCAGTACTGCTTAGAGGGCAATGAAATAGATATTTAGAGTTTAACACTTGGTACTAGTAATGGTTAGTAATAGTATGAATCGGATTGTATGCGATATGGCGTTGCTACATAAATACAACTTTTTTTTGTTGGTATTAACCTGTCATAACTTTATGTGGTCGATTCTCTCTTTTGATGCATTTATCATGTCGTGGCAGGTGTCGAACCAGGAGTTCGACGTCACGTTTGGCCTTTCCTTCTATTTGTGTACTCCTTTGAATCGACCCAGAAGGAGCGGGACCGTATCCGTACTGATAACTATATCCATTATCAGGATATTAAGCGACGACGGCAACTCATGACCCAGGAACAGCGGGATAAATTCTATCGTGATTATGAGTGTACTGTTGAAAAAGACGTCGTTAGAACAGATCGGTAAGTGGAATTTTTATTAGCAAAACTCTAACTATAGGGATATCAAAAGAGTAGAGTATTTATGAGTAACACTTGTATAATTACAAATAAGTTGGACACTAATATATATATATATATATATATATATTATGTAAACGTGGCGGTTTTTTAATACGTAACTGCCGGTGGAACATGACATAATATGAGCTATCTAGAATGTAAAAAGGTAAGACACATTAAAGCTAATGATCTTACAAGAGAGGTTGCTGATACCTCAGTAGTTTTTCAAAAGGTGTTGTTCGTACCTAGTGGTAAAATTACATATGTTAATGATGTCAAGATTTAACCTATGGAGCTCTTGTGTTGCAAATAAACACGTCATTCCACCGATCATCGTAATCATTCGTTTTGTGGGCAATTAAAACGCGCCTCCAACCTCCGATTCCCACGCATGATCGATCATATTCTAGTTCTGTACTTCTTCAACTCGAGCAGAAAGTAACCTGCACAGAAAAAAGATTTAGCGAGTTTCTATCGTTGGAAAGAAACGCATAGGCCTTATTTAGGATATATTATAAACAACGATTGCGCAGCAGGGACGAGACATCCGATGTTGATTTGCACGGTATCTAACCTAGCGGCCGTTCAAGGAAGTCTCAAGCTCACGACTGGAGGGACACAACTGGGCAGCGCTTATATTCATAGGAACGCTGTGGTGAGTGGGCGATAATTTACCTGTTGAACCTGAGAAAGTTCAAATCTATTATTATCCTTACCTCCCTCGATTCGCAGTAAAACTCATACGATTGCCCCTGAGAGCCATATTCGAGAAGGAAAAGAACAAAACGGATTACCTGAGACCCAATACATGTTGCAGTGGTTTGTTTATGTTGAAGCTATATCATTTAAAGGCTACCTCATACCGGCTTTCCATTCAAACATAATAGGTCTCTATACATAATGATGGGGTCACTACCGTGCGTGCGTACAAACACCAGAGCATATATTATGGCAAGCAAACGGCGCCTGACTACACGGTGTATTCCAGTATCTTTTTTTCCATAGTTCAGTCTACAAAGCGACTACCGTAACTTGTTACTTTTAATAATGTCTGCTGCATTGTGTTACTGTGTATTATGAACTGCTTAACTAAGGCCTTGAATGTATTGAGCAATAATTCCTGCAGGCATTACTTTCATCGTTAATACTAGAACATTCGATAAAAGACCTCATACAGGTTATCGCTACCGGCGAAACTATAATTTCCACTGAAGATTTCCCATTTCACAAACAACATAGTAGACACGTTATGGCAATCATTTTATATAGATACAATCTAGTAGCTCGCAAAACGTAACAATATCAACAGAGCCAGGGTGGATGACAAACAGCTAATGGTCATTCTCGCATTTCTTCATCAGCGGAAAGGATTTTCAGAGAAAAAAGACCGTCTAGGAGGTTCATGTAGGTAGTCCGGATCTAACTTAACCAAAAAGATGGGAACTATCTGGGAAGTCGTTTCCCACACAACGTCCCATTGCTGCATATGGAATCTACGTCCTGCCCGGGAACGTTGTAGGGTTGGAAGAAAATAAAGGACTCGAGTTCACGCTAAGAAGGAAGCCTTCGAAAAAACGTAGCTCAACGTCGACACGGTACAATGGTGTGACCAAGCAAAAATTTTCGAAGTGACATTTAGAAAAGCTATTCTCTTATAGAAAAGCTATTCTCTCATCTGTTTCAATCAAGTTTATTAAAAACAATAGTTAAGGTAACCAGTTGCCCCCTGACCGTCAAGTTAATAGATACTATACGCACGGTGTTATATAATCAATGTGCATACATGGCGTTGTTCAGTTTCTATACGTACAGATTCAGAGTGTGACAGGTTAGTTTACTTAATCCTATATTCATCTGCTTCCTTCGAGGCACGACGAAAAGACATCACGAAGAAGACCTTCTATTGGATTCAGTCCACAATTTCCTTAAACACTATTTTATCAAAATATTTGTCTCTGATAAACTTTACATCTAACAGAAACTTCAGGGATCTATCACTGAAAATTATGCAGCATCGATCGCTACACGGTAGTTGTCTGTTCAGTGTTATTTATTGACTAATCAGGTTTATCTTAAAAGTACGTTGATGGGTACGGACTGATAACGGGAAAAATCGAACAGAAGCATATTTCGTTCGCGGTGATCGATGATGTGAAGAGCCGTTGGGAAACAATACGCTTACATACCATTGTTGGTTTATGGCGAAGGGTAGTTCGGGCGGCTACACATGCACGGTGAGATAGTGCTAGTTGGATTTTGAAGAAGTTTTTTGTCTTTTTAGTAATTAAATATAGAATATTTCAATAATAACAAGCGCAAGCAGTGTCAGTAGAATTAAACTCAAGTTCAGTTACCAAATAGTTGCAGTAACCATTCAACCGATACCTAAAGACATCCCCCGTGAATGCTAACTTACTATTCAACAAGTTTAGTACGACTCGATTTTGGTAGGAAGCAACGTTCTTCGTATTTTAAAGCAGTTTTTTTCAAATTATTCCCCCTTTAGTTTTACTCTCACACAATTTCTAAGGATATACCTACCTGGAGTTGGCCTCTCTCTGACGCAAGTCCTTAATTCTCCTTCTACTTTTATCATAAAAAAGCGGTTATGCTTAAGTGATCCTAATTGAATTGAGCGACAACTTAGCTGCAAACAGTTGCGAGTTTATCTGATACAGATGACCAGCCTAGATCTACTCTAAAAAAATAGTAAAAGCGAGCAGTTCTCCCACCTTTTCGAAATACAACCCGAATATATTGCTATTGCAAAACCAGAAGGTCAGTTAGACTGTGGCAGTATTAAGAATTTTCAAGGGATGACTCATTTATTTCGTCCGTGTATTATTATCCGTAAGACGTTATATGCGCGGCCTATAGTTCAGATAAGAGTTTCGACGCCCATAAGCTCAATGACGTTCATCACCTTATGATCTAAGTGTTACGTCTTTTTTTTTTTTATGTCAAATCAGCAGGACATTGTGTAGCTTTTAGATCATCGCCAGCTAAGTGAGTGGTAACGAACTATCGTGTAGACTGACGTAGTGACAAGCGGCGTTTTTTTGAAAATACCATCTCATGCAGTTTCCAATCTAGAACCTAAACCACCTAACCTTCTCTCCTGTCGTATTCAGGCCACTGTATACCTTCATACTTACACTAACCTATTACTGTAATTTGGGTGAGGTAGCTGCATGTCAGATAGAGATTTCAAGTTTTGTGGTGGAAAGTGTTGTACGGGCTCGCGTGGGACTAGTTTTAAGAAACAATATTTTTCATGGCAAATGCACCGCCATGTATGAAGAAACGGTCGTCACAGTTGAGCTACTAACGTGCTTGGCTTATTCAAATTTGTTTTTATATTAGAATAAAGATAAAAGTCCTGCGCTTTTTTGAGTGAATGAAAGGTGCCATGTTATGTATCCCCCGTCATGGTTCACGGCTTTCCCATCCTGTCTCATTAAAAACTTACCAATGTTGTTGCAGTTCGTTGAACTGTATGAAAGATAAAGCCACGAAAATGATTGCCCAGTAAACGGAAAAAAATATTAAAACTGCAACAAAAGTTCACATTCGAAGTCCAGGAGAGCAGTTTTGACGATGTTTGTGGTATGTGGCCTCGCGTTGTCATAAAGCAGGACGATCTAACTTCGTTTGTCTGGTCTTTTTTTTGAATAGCTAGGATAACTCTATGCAACTGGGCCAAGTAAATGTGTTCATCAACTCCATAGTTCGAAAGAGGTAATACTGGGTAGTTTAGGCTCTAGCAGTCCTAACAAACGCAAACGAAGAACTACGCGGATATTTGGCCTTGATTCCCTTCCTGGAGACACCCATTGCAATCTCTAGTTCATTTTGATGTATAACCATTACTTCTTATCACTGGTGACAATTCTCTGTAAGGAGGTATCGCTCGATACCAGCCAAGATGATATGCAGCGCTATGATTTAGAGATGAGGACCCAAATTACAAAGCCTTAGGCTGTTTCGGCAGTGTTTCGGCCTTGATAAAGAGCGTAGCTCAGTTAGCGTGATAAATCCTTTTTGTACGAGAAATCTTTATGTTTAAGGAACTATTTCAAGTTTAAATCGCACTCATAACATAATACTGTTACAATATGATATAGATGAAAGGGCGTTTTTGAACGGTATATCAGGAAAAAAGTATGGAACATTTTTTCTTTCTTTTTTCTAACAGTTCACAGCTGAAAGTGTAACAAATTCACACCTTTTCTATTTCCATTCTCTCCAGTATATATACCATCATACATAGTCAGCATAGCCTTTAACCCACAGAAAGCCTGGAAAACCTTACATATGATTCACTCATTTTTTTTTAACATATTTGTAGAAGTTATTTAGTGATACAAGAAAAACAAAAAAAATTAGCTAACAAATAATTTCAATTGATATATGGCGCGAACCGAGAGAAAGCACACCATGTATTTGTGGCTACAGATCGAGCCAGCTCGATGCAAATGCTACGACTTTATCATGTATCAATGGACGATGATTCAAAAAATATCTTATATTTTGTCTCGTTCGCGACTCGCAATTTACCTACTTATCTCTCTTTGCTTGCAGAAGTAATCCATTCTATGCAGGAGAGGACAATGTGAACGTATCGAAGATGAAGGAGATCCTTCTCAACTACGCGGTCCACAACCCACAAATAGGCTACGCTCAGGTATTAGGACGGCGGGTCAAACATTCGACCATACACTACCCTCATGGTTCACCTGAGCATGGGTGAATTTGATAAGTTTTGGCCGCCGTTGGCCGTATCAAGTCCACCCGTAGGTCTATGCAAAGTATTAAGAGGAGAAACCCATACGATCGTTGACGATGCGAGCACTGATCATTGATTGATCGTTATATTGGAGCGATCGGGCATTAGAACGCGAGCAAAATGCTTGACAGTGGCAATGCGCATTTAACTTGTGATGTGGATGCGCGCGGTAAGGTTCACGTTGGACATGGGCATGGGCATGGGCAAAGACAGAGTAACTAAATGGTTTAGCTACTTATTACTCAGATTGATGATGAAGCTGAAGTTTTTTTTGACAGTTGCACGGTAATCAAAAAGGTATAAGTAAAAAAATGACGAGTTTGTTCTATGCTCTTGTTATGGCACCGTTTATTACTAAATCGACATCGAATTGACAGGGAATGTCAGACCTGCTGGCGCCCATTCTGTTCGAAATTCGTGACGAAGCAGAAACCTTTTGGTGTTTTGCCGGTCTCATGCAGCGAACATCTTTTGTGTCTTGTCCAACGGACACCGATATGGATAATAACCTGGTTAGTACAATTAAAGGATTTTTATCTTATCTTCTAGATAACAATTGCATCTATATAACAAATTATCGCACTGTTTTCGCGCTTACCAGAAAGACGGACACTCACTCAAACCCATGCAAAAAACAAGAGTTGCTGACGTTATCAAAAAATGTTCATATGCCTTCCCTTGACACCATCTCAACATATACATGCAGGACACAAAAGCTGAGCATGAGTTGATTTTAAAATATTGAAAAAATCCAATTTTTTTGGAGTGAAGGAATACTACGCCTGTGTCCTTTTCCTTGAAACGGGTGCGAAGGGCAGCCATTGAAGTACGTGCTTAACGGGAGTCAATTAATCAAAACCCTCATTAAAACTAGGTTTCATATTAAATGTATTATAGCATCATATATTGCTAAAGACTAACTTTACCTATATATATATACGCCTTGGGTCTCTTCCACAGGCCAACTTTAAAGGTCAGGTTGGAAATGTGGTTTTCGCGAAGAGAGACGCTATTTCATGTCCGACACGGACCGAAGTCTTTAAGCATGAGAATACTTTATATGTATAATGTTGTGGCTGCTATGACGAAAGATGAAGCCAAGCTTTGATTGGGGGCTACATTCCCCCTTGTAATACGATGTAACCAGATATAACAAACAAGTTATCATTACCAATAAGCTCTTCGATATACGATGTATCAATTGATATTTCAATCAATGTTCCACGCTTTTCCAGCATAAAACATATGGTAATATATATACGATTTATAGGCAGAAGGTACATTTCTCTGCTGTCTATACGTTACCAACAATAACAACAAGTATCACAACAAAGCCAGAATAATCAGTGGGTAACGTGTTTGATTAAAATTAATAGACTCCAATTTCGCCTTCTTACCTACGAAGCTTCGAGAATTCGAAGCCGGACGTAGACACGCCGTTCATTTCGTACTGGCCTAGACAAATCGTCTGAAGCGATGTTGGATCGCCGGACGTAAAATCTAGAAATGGCCATTTTGTATGATATGCATAATAGTATTTCATCGAATTAGTAATTACTAAAGTTACAATGTCTCCGCGATGCATCCGCGTCCCGTTACGCGTTGACAATCTGAGCCGATCTTATAATCCAGATACTGAAGCGCGCTACCGGACGTAAAATTTAAGTTGAATCAATAGAATATCGTCGTGATGGAGCCGTCCTAACGTGTTATCCTAATAAACCGAGAAGTATGAAAGGTCGAGTTTAGGCTCGAAGCTGACTGCAGATACGTTCCGGAAAATGCCGACTACGTGAAGCGATCCTTAACGTAAAACTCGACACATGTATTTAATAGCAATACTAGTAGTAATAATAATAATAAAGTTTCTGCATGTGTTTCATTTTTGTTTGCTTCCTTTGTAGAATTATCTCCGTGAGTTATTGAAGCTCTTCTGTCCATCCTTCTATCGTCACCTATCTCAGCATCTCGATGCGCTCGAACTGCTTTTCGTTCATCGTTGGGTGTTATTGTGCTTCAAACGGGAGTTTCTGCCTGCGCAGTCGCTGCTAATTTGGGAAGCCTGTTGGTCCCAGTGGTTGACCGCACACTTTCATCTGTTTGTGTGTGTAGCAATAATCTCCGTCTATGGACAAGATGCCGTCACCCAGAATATGAGCCTGGACGAAATGCTTCTACACTTTAGTTCGTTAGCAATGCATATGGACGCAAGGACTGTACTTCGAAAGGTGCGACTCGAAAGGGGAAAACTGGTCAAGCTGTAAACATTAGCAACTACCACAAATTTAACATAGGAGACAGGACGAGTCTGTAGGATTTTCACACGATGTAATTTGTGGGATAGGGTGACAATTATTGAGATATGTGGAAGCGTGCCTTGTGAAGCATGTGTCTGAGAAAAATGTGTATAGCCATTGTATGCATTACATAAAGATACCCTGAAAACATGTTTAAACTGTAGTTTTCTTTGTCGTATGTTATAAAAGGTCTTTAATATCAACTACATTTGAAGTAGTTCAAAAATAGGTCAAACTAATTGCTCCCCTTGGATATTTTTTTTCTTTTATAATAATCCATGGATCTACTCGGAGGCAAAGAAGTGCCCAGCAATACTTCCCTGATCTGAAACGGATCCTTGATGCTACACCAAATACGTAGTTTTAGGGACTTGTTTTCACAAAAAAAAAAGCTGGAAAAAGTAGTATAGAAAACAAGCTCGCGTACCATTAGGCTGCTCGATCCGTCGTATTTCAGGCCCGTGGCCTGGTTTACCAGTTTCGCTCACGTCGACGCTTACCGTGTAGCCTTGTGGCGTTGCTCACAACTTCGTCAACCTTCGATGCTACGTGGGACTCGCACGCTCTGCCTTCGGTTCTGTGCGTCTGCGCAGACTTTGGAGACACAGGGATCTGTACAAACCGAGCCCACCTTGACACCTTACATAACTTCTGATATAGGTTCGTAATATATATATATATATATATATATAGAGAGAGAGAGAGAGAGAAAGGGGTTAACAATTTGCGACCAAAAAATACATTTTCTGGATCAACCACGTGAGTTTTGCAGTGGCATTTCTGGTCCCTGCGCGATTTATGGTAAAATTTAGAACACCATAATTACATTACGGTTGCGTGTTTTCAATCAAAGACATATTTTTAAATTTTGAAAGATAGTGAAAATATTAAAAATATCTTTCATAGCGTGTTCGGCTGAAATTTTACAGTAAAATATATTGAAAAGAGGGAAAACCAACTCGCCAACAGGCGATCGATAGATCTCTTTTATACCAACAATATGATTAAAGAGAGATCTTACCTACTTCTCGGCTTATTCTGGGGCTAACAAGAAGGCTAAATTGACCAGTTCATGCACGAAAATATCGTTTTTACGTTCATCTATTCTCTGACCATTTACTTAACCTAGTAAGACAATTTCTAGATCTCTGCTTTATTACAGGTTCAGGCCGCACGCTCCGTCAGGGGTAAATGCGGCTAAAAGTTTTTATTGCGCCTTACCGAAAATGTCATATGCTATCAGCCTGCGTTGAGAATACGCGATGTTAGCCTAAGCAGATGACCCGTGAGCGACAAATCTGTTCGTGGATGAACCAGGGCAGGCCATAGACAACAGCATGTATCAGCAGCCATTGCGTGCCCCACAACAGCAGCGGCAGCATTATTAGCGGATCCGTATTTTGCGCTGAACAAGCCCTCAAAGGTACTGATACCCATAGAGGGCGTTATATCGATATCAACTCTGCGTACTACGTACAGCATCGGGTACGTCTTGCATTGGACGTTTCAACCAAGCATTTCTCACATATATTCGAAACTTGTTTCAATACGTTTTTGTCAGTTGGCCTTCGACGAGTTGTCATCACTTAGCAGGGCCTCTTACTCAGGCCTTTACCGGGTCTTCAGAGATTCCAAGCTAGGCCGAATAGACCCGCATACAGTGAGTGTTCGAAAAAACCGCGCAAATAGTTAGACGGAAACGCAAGCAACGATACACTTTCCGCCTAAACATACGTACATCAAAGAACATATACTATTTGGTTAAAAAAAAAATCAGGATGTCAATATTTATCATTTCAGTTCTCATTTTAAACTGCTAACTAATCAATGTGATGCAAGGACTGCGTATATAGTATTTTCGGCAATTAAATTTCAAACATGGTTTTTGCTGGGAAAGGCGCAAAAAAACACTCGCTTTAGTGGGGCGTACATTTAATAATTTCGCGTCTACAGACAAAAATTATTTTTGGCAAACTTACAAGGTATGATATATACGGTACAGCCAATCCGATTACTCAAAGAGATATTTTATAGCAGGACTGAGGTAAATTATCTGTGAAGTCTATTGAAATTTACCGCCATTTTCTATTCTAATTCCTATAGGCCTTTAGGTGTGGAAGCACAGTTTGCAACGGTTCGGCAACAGCGGCATATATAAATCCATTCATTGGATCTCCAATCTGTATTCTGCTCGTTGAAATAAACAAAAAGTTCTTTTCAACGCGTTGAACGAATGTTTTAAGAGCAGAAAGATTTCCGTAGCTTAACCCTATATCCATTCTTGCCAGTCTATTGTAACTGCATCAACGGCGGTTTCGTCCTGTACATAATGTATGATATTCAGAATAAATGATGTTTTAAATTACGCGGGCATTTAAAGGCAAAACATTTCCTTGTTTCGTAAATAGGGCAATGTTTGAAACATATAATTTTTTGCATTTTGATGAACAAACAATTAAAACCATAACAGAAACGAAACATTGCACATAGCACTACCTATCAGAGACCATCTGCAAGCCTGAAAACAGCAATATATATGCACACTAATACCTATTTGAAGGAGATGATGTATGCTACTTCAATATACAGTATGGGCTATTGGGTAACTTGAATAGAGGAAACTCTCTGATAATCGTCCTTTCCAAAAATTATATGTTAGCAGAGACCTTCAAGCGGCATCACTGCATCGTAAGCGACTTATAAAAATGATAATGACACGTGATACAGGGCCGTCCCCATCGTAAGAGATTGTTGCATGCACGTAAGAGAACATCGAGTATAATACATACTATAGTAGATATAATAAACAAAAACGATTGATCATTTCTAATAGTCCCCCACGGCTACCGGATTGATAAAGACTACTATATATAATATCGTACTAAGACGAATATTATGCTAATGTTATTATTTGTTCAAGAGCAAGTTGTGTGTACAGCACGAGCACGCAGTAGATGTCGCTAACGGTACAGTGCACGCTATTGTCTTGGGTCTTTTAACTATGATAGAGCGACAACTTCCATTGAGTGTAGATGGTAGAACACGATCATATGTTAAACGAGAATTACTAAGAGCTGATCAACGAGGCATATACCGATATTTTTACTTCCGACATGTGACTTCGGCATCTGATCCTACTGATACTACGGAACCTCCCCTACTTTGAGGTCTCACCCATAAAAATAGTGATAATACCGAAAATGCCAGCAACTGAGCAAAAAAAACGGGGCTAAGGTCCATATATTAATTATATCGTTGATAAAAATACCATTAGAGGCTTGACAAACCTTCTAGCCGAAAAGCAAGTTTTATTTACTTTTATATATATAAACATATATGACAAGCGAATACCTAAACTCCGTGAACGTTATGATATTATTGTAAAGTAATAATAGTATTATTAATGTTACAATGACGATTTATATGTATCCTTTTCTCCTATACCTAACCTATAAAAACCTAGAAACCTATAAAAAATAAGATGAAAAAAGCTGATATGCAAATGGAGTTAGATAATGTAAATAAACAAACTCTGCTAGTTTTGTCAACTACTATAGGATAGACTAAATCGACCTCGATCTTCTGTGCGAGAAGATCTTGAGGCGAATTGTGTAAGACAAAGAGTGACCAAAACATACCTGCTACAGATTCTAACATAACTATTTCGTGTCTTCTTGAGCTTCAGTGCAATTGCAAGGCTATGTTCGAAATGGAAATCGTGTGTGTGTGTGTGTGTGTGACTGTGTCTGCGTACGCACGTTTCAGAGGGGACGTTGTTACTAATTGACAGCCAGAGATAGAGTTTCTCTCTGGTGCAACGGCTTATGGCGATTCGGGACATGAGGTCTGAGGCATTTAGCTAAATTGAAATAAGAAAAAGTGATAGAAAAAAACTATCCATTATATATGGATCTCTTAAAAGATCCATAACGAAAGGACGAGGCATAGAATATTCGAATAGAGCCTTATGCGAACTCCTCTTGCTTCTAAAGAAGCAAGCCTTTCTGTAGTTCATAAAATGTCTTCCTTGACCGGGTAGTTCTTTTCCATCATTTGAATGCTCGCCGGAATTCGGACCATTCTAATGATGACTCTGTCGATAGAACTAACTCTCTCAGTTGATCTTGTGTTTACTATTGTATTTTCTGATTTGAACCTGAACAGGTTCAAGCCCCGGCGACGACATACATTTTATCTTCGTGAAGCGAAATATACACAGTGAATTAGCTTAGTTAAATTTTATAAAATGGACGTCTTTATAGTCTACTTGTTTGTTCTGACTGTTAAAAACACTAAATTATCAAGTACTATAACAATATAACGTCTAGTTGTTTTTTCGAATAAAGTCAAATGAAGACACCGTGGTGTTTGGTGACAGCCAATGCAATAGTGGTAAATACTGTTGTTTTTGAATGTAAGTAAACTTTTTCCCACGAATAGACGACAATGCATTAATTGATCTGATAAGGCCACATTACTCCGTGTTTGTTGAAATTTTGCTAGTCCACAAACCTATTCCTATCAGCGAATTAGATGTTATGTAATTTCGTTATGTGTATTTAATCGGTTCGTCTATAAAACTGACAACGATGACTGCAGGACAAGCCTTAGGAAAGGCTTTCGTTAGAATTGTTATTAATATGGTTACAGCAACCACCGTCGTCTGCTTGTATACCGTTGCCTAGGGGTACAGGCCAGGGTACAACTATTCTCTGACAGGTTGTTAAACAAATCACAGATATTATGGTTGGACTTCTATACGTGATCAACACATCTACATCTTCTGCGAACACCATATCAGTTTCTAGCTTAAGGTCGTCATTTGCTCACCGAACCCTGCGAGCTAAACTACGATAGACGCTGTTACCTGTGCATCCTTAGAGACGGAGAGGATGCAATGGACAGTCCACTCCGGAGGTGACGATGCGCTGGGCACCAGCAGGAGTCGAAAATCGTTTGTTTTCAATAATGGACTATAACGGCCCGATCTGCCAAAGAAACTTTTGCGATCACGATTCGTCTGAGTCCTAGAAAAGTTACCATGAAACTCTGAATACATCTGAGAATTCTGCATACGACTAGCAGACGTTCGATCTGCTCAATGCGGTGGTCTGCTGGTCTGATTGGAGAAGTATGTAAACCTCGAGGGTGACCGACCACGCTAAAAGGAATAGTTCGCATGTAATTAGCTAGAAATAGTGAGATTGCCTTCGGTGGTCAGGCGTCATATCAGTATGTGTTAAAATAAGACGATATTCAAATGTGCCACATACAAAATCAGCATCTTATTATGCCGAATTCAACGTCACAGGAATGAACAGCGGAACCCAAACTTCGAAAGCTACTTGCGCTGAATTCTCAGTTAATAACAACATCAATAGATGCGCTGGGACTTGAAGTGCGAAGGAAAGGTTCGAATCGAAGGTTCAAATTTCTGTGAAGCACTTCAACAGGAACGTGTTGGCCTGTTACTAAATTTAAAGACACGTGGTGAAATGGGAGCCAAATTCTAAGTTGGCCACATACCGATATTCGATTCGTTTTGAGGTGCTGGAAAAAGACAGCCGTCTAAAGCTATAGTAGTAGGAACGAATGTAGAATTTTAACGATCCCTAACAGCGAAGTCAAACTTGCAACCTTTTTTTATTTGGCATCGGAAAATTAAGGACCGCTTTCATATGAACATTATCGAAAACGTTTCGAAGAGCGTTTCGACATTGATAGGAAAAATGTCGCAAAGAACTTCAGTTCAATCAAATCTTAACTTAAAAGTTCAGCATTTATGATACGCTAGACGCTTGAATATTTGCGTTTCAATATCTAACATTTAAGTTAATTAAAACTTGTACAAAAAAGTTAGTCACCGAAGAAGATATACGGAAACACGTTCCTAAGGTAACCATAGGCTGTTCCGTTGGCAACTTTGTGACCCATAAATATTAGGTCGGGAGCTTTAATGGCAGCAGGGTACAATATAATATAATGGCCTGCAACGTTGTTTCATATCCTACATATCTGTCTTGGCATGGAAAGACTCGATAAAGATGTCCCAGTGTCCTTGTGAATCCTGCAGCGAAAGCAGGAGAACATTAGTGGAATGGGAATTTGTTACCTCGCACATGCTAAACACAGAAATACAATTTATGCAAAAAAAAAATGCAGAGTAAGGCCATCAAGTAGGGTTATCAAAGACCATGGTTGTTAAACGTGCCAATGTAAAGGCTAAATAATATAAGGAGAACTAATTAATACTAAATACGAAATATAATAATGTCGGACCTGATGTGATCAATTTCGACTGACCGCCTGTTGGAGTTTCTCGATATAAACAGTTCTGAACCGAAACTTAATCACGATTTACAGGGTAATTACACGAAGTAATGAATGGCAGGAAAGGCTACAGCGGCTTTTTTTTTTTTATTATTGTGAAACGACCGACCGAACTCGTTGGTATTTACGCTTTAGCTTTTAATTCACTCCTTTATCAAGCTCAGTTGGAGTCGATTTGGAGCTGGGAACAAAGGACAATTTTCAAAATGGAACAGTGATTTAAACAAAAAACACATATTATGTAAATATATACGAGTATATGACAGTTCTTCAATAAATGTCTGCAACTGTGATCGATGAACGAGAGCGAATGTCCTCTTTGCTTTCTATAGCGTTTGTATAAATTAGGTTTGACGCTGAAGAGTAGTCATTACTGGGGGACGTATGGAAGGCCAGAGCTACTTTTCATCAACGTCATTACAAAGCCATGCATAACGCTAAACCTTCGCGTACTAAGATTAATTCCCAACAAACTCATAAACATAAGAAATTCTTTATTTAGTTATACCTGTCATGAAGTATCTATTATAATGACATTTCTATTTTGAGGTGAAAATTATTTGCGAGCCCCTTTTACACGAAAAAGCTACGGAAACGATTTTCTAAATTTTGTCGGGAGTTTTCAGGATTTATGGCTGCAATTCAAGTTTCAGAAGTTTTCAGCGTTCGGGTCACATGTTTCATTGCTTAGTACCATATAACCGATAGCGTTGAAAAGGCAGTTTAAAGTTCCGCGCAGCATAATATGACCATTAACTACTGTAGACCGACAACGGAGTGAGAGTCATCCCTCTAATGTTCAGTGAGATTCTCTCGTTAATATAATCGATATATTATTATTATTATTATTATATTATAGTCCGATTACGGTAATAACAACAACAAAACAGAGATACATATAATACTTTCCCTTTTCTTTTTCATTCCTTTCCGATTGCTTCTCGAAAAGGCAGCGACAGATGTGCTCTGCGAACCGCGCAGAACTTTTAAGATACTACAAAATCAACTTACGTATTCTCAGTAAATATTTCATTAAATAAAACATCCTTAACTGCAAGTTGGCGCTGGTCTCAGATTTTGTTACTGTTTGCTTTGCCGGCGAGAAGAAATTCGTAATTTTTAGAACCTGTTAAGTTTGCTACATGCGTTTAACACTTGTTGAGTTTAATAGGCGTGAACCAGATGCAGACGGCTACAAGTCACAGTGGTGAACGCTTCTAATCGCACGGGGCTTTGAAAGCACGATGGCCTACAGCAATCCTGCTAACAAATTGGTCCTGACATTAAGGGGCAATGAATAAACTAAAGCCATCGCTACCATTTAAATAAAAGATTTCATTAACTGCAGCGTACGACGGAACACAAAACGTAACTTGCTATTTACCGAACTACCAAAATGAACGTGCGCCCCCATTAAGATGTAGACGCCGACATTCAACTTAGAGCTCGAGATTTTTCTAGCAGAAATTATCTGAATTGCTTAGCGCTCAGCTGCGGCTGACTAGCTTTATCGATAGAGTTTCTTTATTAACGAATAATATACATCGAGCCGGCCGTTCCTAAGCCGCAAATAGAGGCCAACTTTCGGCGGAACACTGCTTGAAGTTTTCAGTGTCGTCGGAAAGCTTCGCACAAGGGAAAGTTCTTCAAATACAATATAATAGTAGCGTCGAATCCTGATAGCATCAATAGATTTTATCTTCCTCAAACGTCGGCAACGCTTTCTTCTTCAACTCTAATAACCAACTTTAAATTTAGCACATAACTTAGGCCTTGAGTTAGTCGTTATCGTACGCGGTAGAAAACGTCAACCATCTATTTGTTCAGTTCCCTTTTAATCATTCAAATCAAATATTATAAAGGTAAACGCATTGGAGTCTTCTCGAGCATTGCTATCGGCAGCTGGTGCCATTGGTATTCAATCAGGTTTAGTCGCTTGTTCTTCGACACTATTATAAGCACGAGCTTCACGTTGAAATGTAGATAATTCGCTGGAACGGCTCTCGTCGTTAGGATCGTTAACTGACCTTTATGTCGAAACGTTTCAAGTGCAATGATCCCTCTAGATTTTCGAGAGGATTTGCCAAGCACGGTTCTGTGGTACAATATTATATTGATGATCATCTTTCAATGATGACATTTTTTTGTTCAGACGACACAGCGCTTAATGGACGGAGCTGGAAATAGTTAACCATCTGGAACAACTTTTAATAGCCTAAAGAAAAAAAAAATGTGAAGCTAAAAACTTTTATAGATGCGTACATCTGTTTAGTCATCTTTCCTTCAGCTATGAACTTCACACTGAAACGAGCACGCAAAAAGCGTTTTATAAAAGATTATATATGTAATCGTCATCGAACTCATCGGCCCTAAAACAACACTGAAAGTCGAAAAAAATCGACACTTTTTTTCCAGGCCGTTTTAACCAGGTTAATGTAAGTGTACAGGCAAGAAACCTGGTAGGTTCCTTGGATTTCTCTGAATATGTAGAACTACTGGACGCCGCTAGATGGCGCGTAACACTCGGTGTGCGTATTGATGTTGCATGGTTTATTTCTGCGTTTGTGGCTAGGTTATAACCAACACAGCCTTTATTTAAAGGCTTGTGAAATACACCGCTTAGGAGGCCGAATTTAGAAAAACGCGGTCCAGCTGAATTGTCACATTAGCGAAAATGATACCGACAATAGCTAAGGGTAGTTGCTCAGTTAGATGCTTCTGTATCATCTGATTCATCAGGAAGTATTGCCGGGCGTTAGCCGCACATCGAGCCGGTATGCTTGCTATATTGAATGTGTGTATGTATATACATAGCGGCGATTTTAAGGTACTACACTCTTCCTATAAACACTAAATAATAACTTATTTATATTGTCATTGTTCAATTGTAGGGACGCACAACAACTAAATACTGCCGTTGATTAACAACCCGAAAATCACCAGGTTCGCCGCCACAGCAAACAGGTGGTCAGGCAAACAACCGCTTCTCAACGCGATAGATTTTTGCGTTACTAAAGCGCATCACATGGTAGAGTATACAAGTTATTGACATACAGTTCAGGAACTTAAACTTATCTCCCAGGATTCGCAAGCAGAAACCTAAAGCTTTACGGGATCCAGCCATTGAATGAACATTAACTAAAACAGATGCGAAACTTGACGGCTTACTGTTTATCGTGCCGCTTCTAGAGGAACTTAATTCCACTGGACGGCTGGAGAACTTCGTAAAGCACTTGTGCTGTAGTCGAATGTTCATGTTTATCGCAGGAATATAGGTGGCCATAATGAGACGACTGAGAAGCATTGTAGTAGAAGCCTTTAAACATTTTCCTAGGCAGCAGTTCATCGTGAGATTGTTCAAACAAGAAGATCACAGTTCGGTAGTAGTGTCGTTATGGCTGGTCCTGGGTCATTATGGAGCTGGCGGTCGCTTTGCCGAATTCTGTCAGGTAATCTTCGGTCTTGATCAGTCATACTATACGTACCGCAGCCATTATCAACGGCCGAATACACTACGCAGTACTATCCATGCTAATATAGTTTTTAATTATATTTTGATTTGAACAAAGACTAAACGGAGGTGTTGTATCGCTGATTTCTATAACTACGATTGCGGCCGATCGACGTCTATAATTTGTTAATTGTTGTCAGCTAACAGCTGAAGAAGCGTTATACGGGCCTTGCTGCCGCCGTTACCGAATGTATAATAGAGACACGTGGAGGCCATGACCGATATTGGCAAAAACGGTATGTAGCAGAAAAAGTCAGCCTGAAAAGAGAGGCTAGGCATGAAACCCATTCAGGACCAGTTCCGTCCTGGTCCGGGCCATCCCAATTAATTGTTTGTTCATTAATAAATAGACGAGAAACCCTATACTGTGTATTAGTTCCGAAATTATATATATATATATATATATATATATATATATATAGGGCAGGGCAAGGGTTATATGGCAGTCTGAATTTTACAGCTGCATCATCAATGAAATTAAACTGTTAAATGATTTTTTGCTATATTTTTGTGACATCCTTGTACTCGATTAATCTGCTAAAACTTTATCCAAATATCTCGCAGAAGCCATTTAGGAGTTTGAGACTTTGTCTATCTAAGGACAATCTAAGGACAGTAAAAAAAATGGTTTTGTCAGGGAAACTGAACGAGACAGTAGTGTACCTACATTCAATTCTATCCGTTTACCTGAGGTATCTTGTAGAGTATAGCCTTAGATTTGTGTCTATTGGCATACACTATGCTAAAAGATATCTTTGTCGATAAAATTATCAGTTTAATTCAATCCCACAAAATTTTAGTTGGTCCCCCGAGCGATTTATTGATCCGATGACATTTGTTGCTATTTTTTTTTTCTTTGGCTCAACATATATATATATATATATATATATCACTGTTTCGATCTGTATTGCTATCATACATAACATGGATTACGTATCCACATCAGCACGAAATGTCTGGTCTACATTCTGGAACATTACGTGCCCTAGATTTACCAGGCAAATACGTTGTCAGCGAATCGTTACGGTGACATACAACAGTTGGAATAGTTAAAATTAATAAATTTGATATAGGCTCTTCTGGCTTTATATACTCACTCTTAAAAGAGGAACGTCAAGATGGCACGGTCGGTCAAGCCCTGCGTTCTGCTGCAAACTTGTAATAAGTCGACTTCGATAGAAGTGCTGAGGGCTAATAGGTGGCTCATATCCAGTCGATATTACGTGACGAACTCTAGGACTCCTTCGTGCAGGTAGTCATTATATATTGCCCATTACATATAACCAAACCGGCCTGTTAGCCTTCAATATATGGAAGGTCGTACGTTAAAGATGTGCATCCTCGGAACATTCGATTTAGAATTGTGCAAGAAAAACTATGGTTGCTAGCAACTCCCCGGGCTTGAAGCGTGTTAAGTTAGATACATGTAAAAACTATGTCTCGGCCGATGACTTCGGATCGACTTTAATACACGACTTTATTTATTAGCGAAATTGGAGGGTCATGCTACAAAATAGTGGAGCTTTGGATACTTAGAGCTACATTTTTGCTTATTCTCGATACTTGCGAAAAATTTCTACTGCTTAATGGCTTATCTTCCTTCTATACAGGCTTTCTTCTATATCACCAGTCAGGGAAACTGCCTGCCGATGCCTCTGGTGACCACTTCAAAGATGATGATAACGACGTTTTCTTACTAGTGTCCTTTTACTAAGAGGGTTGCGTGAGAAATTCAGGAGCTCAAACTGATCTGGCACAGCTGCCGCGTTGAATAATCGGGTTCCC